AAAATAAATCATTAATGATGCAAGTATTAACTACATTTTCTAAATTATGAACGTGTTTTAAATAGGCTACAGAAATTGAATAAAGTGTAAATTAACATTAAAAGTTATTCAACAAAACATTATTTAGTCAAGAGCAGTAAGTTTTGTTGTTTGATTAACATTAATAAAAGACGGCACAGCTAGGCTGCTGTCACAAGACCTATTTCACGGATCCAATGCTGATACTCGTGCGTTTTATTTTGCAACTGTTTACATTAAGCTCACTCTCTCACTCACACACACACTCTCACACACACACACACACACTCACTCTCTCACTCACACACACTCTCACACACACACACACACATGTGTAAATATATACAATAAACATGTCTTTCCACTAGTCTGAAAAAACACTTTATGAAAAACCAAAAAGCCCAAAATCTCAAACTTGACAGGTGCATGAAAACAGTGTTTTTGCCTGCAGTGTCTCCCTTTAATATATAAAAATGTCCAAGTGTAAAGAAACCTGAAGTGGGTTGTGATGATGTTCTGCAGGTTCTGCTGGATGGTGCTGAAGCTCAGAGTTCAGACAGACAGACTAAGCTGGATCAGGTGTGTTCCTGTGTGTGTTTATTCATGAATGCAGTGTGAGATGATGCTGATGCTGATGATGCTGTGTGTGTTTGAGCAGCTGCTGGAGCTGGGCTTTCAGAAGGACATGGCCGACTCTGCGCTGAGCATCATGGGAGAGGATCTGGCTCAGGCCACTCAGATGCTGCTGGATAACCAGGGTGTGGTTCCTCCGGACCTCCTGTCTCCATCACCTCCATCCTCCTCCTCAGAGGAGCCCAGCACCTCCTCCGACTCCACCGGTGAGGCCTCCATCCGCTCACGTGATCAATAAAAACAGACTAATATGTGACCCTGGAGCACAAAACCAGTCATAAGGGTCAATTTTTTTAAATTGAGATTTATGTATCATCTTAAAGCTGAATAAATAAGCTTTCCATTGATGTATGGTTTGTTAGGATAGGACAATATTTGAAAATCTGGAATCTGAGGGTGCAAAAAAATCTAAATATTGAGAAAATCATCTTTAAAGTTGTCGCTACAAATATACCCCAGCGACTTAAGACTGCTTTTGTGCTCCAGGGACTCATATATGACCAACTTACAGAAAAATCATCTTTTCTGTGTTTTAAAAAACTTTTTACATTAGAAAACATAGATTAAAAAATATGGATATTTAAAAAAGACTATTTAAAAAAAACATTATAAAAACATTATTTAAAAAATATATATATATACACACACACGCACAGACAATACATTATCAACACAGATAAAAACAAAAACAAAAAATGACATTAATACAAAAAAATCAGTAAAAAAA